TTAATGGCACTTCTGTCTTTTTTGTTGGTTAATTGGATATAAGAGTTCACATTTTTCCTGTCCAGGCTGACTTTGAACTGTGATCCTCAGAACTCAACTTCCTGAGTAGCTAGGATTACAGGTGTAAGCCACTGGTGCTCAGCATCAATTTTGTTTTAGCATAAGGAAAATTACCTAACAAGGTAAAATAAATACCATTACCTGAAAACAAAATTATATTTTTTTCTTGCCAGTCCTGGGGCTTGAATTTAGGGCCTGGGCACTGTCCCTGAGCTTCCTTTGCTCAAGGTTAGCATTCTATCACTTGAGCCACAGCACCACTTCAGGCTTTTTCTGTTTATGTGGTACTGAGGAATCGAACCCAGGGCTTCATGAATGCTAGGCAAGCATTCTACCACTAAGCCACATTCCCAGCCCCAAAATTAAAAATGTAAATGTGTCAGGCACCAGAGGTTCATGCTTGCAGTACTAGCTACTCAGGGGGCTAAGATTTGAGGATCAAGATTTGAAACCAGCTGGAGCAGACAAATCTGTGAGGCTCTTATCTTCAATTAACTAGCAAAAAGCAAGAAGTAGGTATATGGCCCAAGTGCTAGCCTTGAACAAAGAAGCCAAGCAAGAAAGCCAGGTGCTGGTGACTCACACCTGGAATCCTAGCTACTCAGGAGGCAGAGATCTGAGGGTAGTGGTTTGAAGCCAGCCTGGGAAGGAAGTCTGTTAGACTCTTAGCTCCAATTAAGCACCAAAAAGCCAGAAATGGAGCTGTGGCTGCAAAAATCTCTCAAACATTTTTTTTTTGGTTAGTTGTTGGGTTTGAACTCAGGGCTGGGCACTGTCCCTAAGACTCTTTGTGCTTAAGGCAAGGGCTCTATCACTTGAGCCATGGCACCACTTCCAGTTTTTGACTAGTTTATTGGAGATAAGAGTATCACAGGAATTTTTCTGCCTGGGCTGGCTTCGAACCACAATCCTCAGATCTCAGTAGTTAAGATTATAGGCATGAGCCACCGGTGCCCAGATAAAGATTTTTTTTTATTACCATATATTAGTTATACAGAAGAGATTTCATTGTGACATTTCCGTGCACATTTACAATGTATTCCAGTCCAGTCATCCCCTCTATCATTCAATATGAAGATTTTAAGTTAATTTTTCAAATGAACAAAAACAATGAAAAGACAATACAAATTCCCAGAACAGTCGTGAGATTCACAAAATCTCTGAGAAAAGGCTCAAAATAAATTAGCCAAAATGCATGTAGCAGAGTTATAAGAAAATGGAGCCACTGGGGTTGGAGGAAGGGGAGGCACATCTATTTTAAGTGGTTCTTGAAGACTTCAATGTCAACAGTTTCTTTTGTTTTGCAGACTGGGGCTGCAATCTAGGGCCTTGCACATGGCTAGGCAAATAATCTAATCTAGACCCAACCCCCTGCCTCTCTCTCTCTTTTTTGTTTTTTGCTTTTACATGGTGGAAACTTCATGTTCCCTGAAGAAGGAAGGTTCTTTCTCTGTCCATAGTTATTGGCAACCATGAGGTTCTTTCAAAAACAGGGAAGGTGGCTCAGTTGTAGAGTGCTTGCCTTGCATGCATGAGGCCCTGGGTTCGATTCCTCGGCACCACATAAGCAAAAAGAAAAAAGCCGGAAGTGGTGCTGTGGCTCAAGTGGTAGAGCTGGGCACTGTGGTGGTTCATGCCTATAATCTAGCTATTCAGGAGGCTGAGATCTGAGGACAAAGGTTCGAAGCCAGACTAGGCATGAAAGTCCTGGAGATTCTTATCTCCAATTAACCAGCAAAAAGCTGCAAGTGAAGCTGTGTCTCAAGTGGTAGAGCACCAGCCTTAATGAAAAAGCCAAGCAAGAGTACAAAGCCCTAAGTTAAAGCCCAGTTCTAGTCACACAAAAAAATGTTCCTAAAAAAAAAAAAAAAAAACAACCCCAGAAGTGGTTCTGTGGCTCAAGTGGTAGAGTGCTAACCTTGAGCAAAAGAAGCTCAGGGACAGTGGCCAGGCCCTGAGTTCAAGCCTCAGGACTGACAAAAAAGAAAAGAAATCTCATTTACATTGTCATCTATATCTTCAAATATGCAACACCCTTTCTGGACCTCAGTTTCTTCATTTCTAAAATCCACATAGCAGTAACTTTCAGCTGGACAGTTGTATGGGGGAGGGCACAGGTCGTTGAGGGAATGGTGTGGGCACCAGGGCTGATGAATGAACCTGTTCTGGGGGTCCATGAAACTGCCAGATGGAGCATCCCCCATCCCAGCCCACCTTCTGCCCTCCCCCTCCCCATCTCACTTGAGCTCCCAGGCTGAAGCTGCAAAACCAGGCCTTGCCTCTTGATTGTCCAGAGCATTTCCTCTGTAGCTTCCCTCTAATTGGGCATTAATTAGGCATTCGTTAATGGATCCTTAAAATAATTTATTTTCGGATGTGTCCAGCCTGTGGTCGGGTAATAGCCCCACGCTCATTATCTGAGTA